GCTCGTCTTCTCGCTGAAGCTGAACAACGCGTCGATGATATGGAGATTCTTGACTCGGGTCGTCTCGTTGGAGTTGAACCAGTACCTGCAGCATCTGATCAAGAAAGCGGCGAGTTAGTACTTGCTCCAGGCGAGTACGTGGATGTTGAGGTTCGTGTTCCACCACCAAATCTTACTCGTTACGTAGCACCTGCTTTCGATCAGATCCGCTCTGATGGTCATCAGCTTCTGTTGTCGTTCTTCGCTAACGCCGAGTATTACCTGCGCGCACAAGGTCACAAAGCCACGGGAGAAACATGGCATAAACGACTTGGTCATCCGTCGCAGTCTACGCTAAACAATACGATCAAGGCTGCATTACTTGACAAGAATTCGTTACTTTTACCGAGCGGTCTCGAACTCAAGCCGGTGAATCGCCCGGCACCCTGCACCATCTGCCCTGCAGCGAACCTACCGCACGAGCCGTTCCCCACTCATTTCCCTGGCGCTGAGGATTATCGATTGATGGAAAAGGTTTACAGTGATATTCTCAACTTACCTTCGGAGGGTTTCAACGGCGAGAAATATGTTATCACGTTCACTGGTAACATGACTAATCGTTTTCTTGCTTTCACAGCGTTTCAGACATGGCTTCCTCTCGCCGAACGCGAGTCCGACACCAAACTCAAAAGCTTCCAGTGTGACAGAGCTGGAGAGTATCGCAGCCTCGAGTTTACAGCGTACCTGCAAAAAAGAGGCATACGGCGCCTGTTCTCACTTCCTCACGCTCACCAGCAGAGCGGTGTAGCTGAACGCCTCAATCGTACTCTGCAAGAGAAGATGCGAGCTCTTCTTGCACAGTCTCAACTTGGCCCACTCTACTGGCCCTTCGCAATGGACCATGCAACACTGTTGCACAACCTCCTGTCTTCGTCAGCTTTACCCAACAACGCATCACCTCACTTATTATGGACAGGAAAATTGGGCACTACGAAACTTCTTGGAGTTTTTGGGTGTATCGTACAATATCGTCCTCCTACTGCTCCGCTCGGGAAGTTCGATCAGCGTGCTAAGTGGGGGCTGCATCTCGGCATTGAAAAACAATATTTTTCCTGGCGTATCATGGATTACCGCAGTCGTCTCCTTGTTCCTGCTCGCGACTGTATTTTCTACGAGAATCTGACGCTGCCCGTCTTCGAACAGCATCTTGCTTCACAGCAAAACCCTGCCACGCTTTTCCACGGTGTTCGTTCGTTTGCTAACGCCGATGTCAAAATTGCTGCCAGCGAAGAACCTGACTCTGACGGTGCACGTGAAGCTGCTCCCGACCCACCTGTCCCTGTCACGTCATCCGGAATTCCGGAGTTTATTCCTCTTGCTGACACGGCACCTGAGGATGTTCGCGATGTTCATCATACTTACCTCGTGGATGAACAACGCCAACCAATGCCGGTGGTTTCTGATAGCAGCATCCGTGTCAACCCTGACGAAATTGGGGGGGCAAGTGGAGACCAGAATGATTCTGTCAATTTCGCAGGTCGCACCGACGATAATCCGCATTATCAGACCGGACTGCAAATTCTGGGACTCGCAGCAGCGGTACAGCACAGTTCTACAGTGAATTTGGAGCCGAAAACTGCCCGACAAGCTCTCTCAGGGCCTCATCGTGAAAAATGGCGTGAAGCGATGGATCGCGAACTGGCTGCCCTGGAGAAAAGGGGAACTTGGGATCTTATACCCATTGAAAAAACGGTAAACAAAAATGTTCTTACCGGTAAGTGGGTCTTCAGGGTGACGACTAAGGCGGATGGTACTTACGAGAAACACAAGGCATGATGGGTGGTACGTGGTTTTGATCAGACTCATGGGATCGACTACACACTTACTTTCGCCCCGGTCAGTCGACATACGAGTGTTCGACTCGTTCTTTGCGAAGCAGCCGCGAAGTATTTTCCACTTCGACAAATCGATGTTTCCAACGCTTTTCTGTACGCCGACGTCGATGCCGAAATCTACGTCGAATATCCACACACCTATCCGACAAATCCGCCGAGTGTCTGCAAGCTCAAAAAATCACTGTACGGAATCAAACAAGCACCGCGACTGTGGCAGCAGCATTTGAACAGGAAGCTGACGGAGGTTGGGTTTAGACAACTGCCACACGATCCAGGGATGTACCGGCTAGACGACAAGGGGAGCTATGCGTTGTTAGTGGCTTACGTGGACGACATCCTCTACGTCAGTTCGTCTACTTCGCTGGGTGATCGTATCGAAGCTGATCTGAAGAAGTCACTTGACTTAACCATTTCCACCAAAGTAACTCAGTTTCTGGGGTTAAACGTTTCGCGAACTTCTTCCGCTATTCATCTCACGGCTTCGAAGTATGCGGAGTCACTCGCTAAGCGTTTCAACATCCCCACGGATTTCGTTGCTACACCTTATCGGTCTACACTCACCGGGCACGTTCCCAACCTGAAAAATCTGTCAGCAGCTGGTATTCAACTGTATCAGCAGCAGCTGGGATGTCTTCTTTTCGCAGCAGTCACCTGTCGCCCTGATCTTGCCTACATCGCAAGTCACCTTGCGCAGTTTTTACGCTGCCCGAAAGAAGAACACTCTCTCGACTTACAGCGTGCGTTACGTTACTTCGTCTCAACACCAACACTTGGATTGATTTTCAATGCTGGGAAGCCGACCGACAAAATGTACCTCAGCGGGTACGTTGACGCGGACCACGCTGGCGACACGTCAGATCGACGGTCACGCACGGGTTATATTTTTCGTCTCGAGCCGATTGGTCCGATTTCCTGGAATTCCTCGAAACAGGAACTGGTGTCACTTTCTTCGGCTGAAGCAGAATTCATCGCCGCTTGTGCTGCAACTCGCGAAGGTCTATACTTGCAGGAATTGCTTGACTAAGCAAAATTCGTCACGCCAAATCAGTTCACGTTGCAGTGCGACAACCAGAGTGCAATTACTATCGCCAACAAGCCTGGTTTCGTTAATCGCACGAAGCATATTTCGCTGCGTTACTTCTTCGTAAAAGACGCGATCGACAAGGGGAGAATGCGCCTTGTCTACTGCTCCACCAGTGACATGGCCGCTGATTCGCTTACTAAGAAGCTGACACGTCAGAAATTTCATCACTGCAACCAGCTCAGTGGTATTTCCGAGTCAACAGGATGACTACACCGTGTCAAACATATATTTACTATAGTCGGTCTAGGCTGTAGTGGGGTAGTCCTTAGAGGGTACAACACTTATGTGTTTCCTACTTGTACCCTCCTCATTTCCTAATTCAATCATTCTTTCGTCTATCATTCTCACATGGTATAGAGCTAGTTTCGAGATTTTTTTTTAAGGGCCCACCACTGAAATTTCTCCCCTGCCTACTTGCCGCGCGCTTCGCACCTTCCCTTCGAGGCCCGTCACGGCCCCTGCGCCCGCCCTTAGAGCATGCGCCCGCCTCGTAAGGCCCCTTAAGGCCTCGTTAAGCCCCGTAAGGCCCCTTTAGGCCCCGTTTAGGGCGCGGATTAAGGCCCCGTAAGGCCCCGTTATGCCCCGTAAGGCCCCGTAAGGCCCCGTCAGGCCCCGTTCGGCCCCGTTTAAGGCCCCGTTAGGCCCCGACAGGCCCCGTTAGAGGCTCCGTACGGCCCCGTCAGGCCCCGTTAGAGGCCCCGTACGGCCCCGTCAGGCCCCATTTGGCCCCGTTTAGGGCGCGGATTAAGGCCCCGTCAGGCCCCGTTCGGCCCCGTTTAAGGCCCCGTTAGGCCCCGACAGGCCCCGTTAGAGGCCCCGTACGGCCCCGTCAGGCCCGGTTAGAGGCCCAGTACGGCCCCGTCAGGCCCCATTTGGCCCCGTTTAAGGCCCCGTAAGGCCCGTCAGGCCCCGTTATAGGCCCCGCAAGGCCCCGTTATCGGCCCCGTACGGCCCCGTTATAGGCCCCGTCAGGCCCCGTTATAGCTGCCTCCTTGCGTGGATAGCTGGGGCGCGGGGGATGGGAACGGGAAGGGGGGAAAGGGGGGGCGGTGGGGGTGGGTGGGTGTGGTGGGGGGGATGAAGGAATGTGTGGGGGAGTGGAAGGTGGACGGGACAGGGAGTCGGACAGTCGAGCAAGGACAGGGAGAAGAGCAGGCTTGTTCTGCCAAATCCCCCTGCTGATGTCTTCTGCGTGGATAGATAGCTGGAGGGAAGCAAGGGGGCTGAGAGAGGAGCAAGAGTAGCAGGATGCATGGCACAGGGGGGGTGAGTCACATGGAAGAGGGTAGAGTAGAGTAGAGACAAGGCTGCTGGTAAGCCAGTGACCTTTGAGAGGCACTTGGAAGCCAGGTCAAAGGCCATTCGTTAACCAGCGGATCCTCTGACATAATTCCAGTGAGCAGCAGTGCCTAGGTCTAGGTTTGCTCACTGGAAGCCAGGTCAAAGGCCATTCGTTAACCAGCGTTCCACAAGAGCATGGAGGGCATGGTATTCTGAAGGTAGGGCATGGAATGGCAGGGAATGGTATGGCATGGCATGGCAGGGCAGGGCAGGGCAAGGGCGACATACATAGAAGCTGGAGACGAGGCCACTGGTGAGGCCGGAGGGGCACTTGAAATCGACTGAGAAGAAGCCAAACGCAAAGGGCTGCGGTGACCGGAAGCGAGAGCCTGGAGGGAGTGAGGGAGGGGATAGCATGACAGGGCAGCGCAGGGCAGGGCAGGGCAGGGCAGGGCAGGGCAGGGGCGACACTGGTGAGGCCGGAGGGGCACTTGAAGTCGACTGAGAAGAAGCCAAACGCAAAGGGCTGCGGTGACCGGAAGCGCGAGCCTGGTGTGTTGGGGGGGGGGGGGGGGGGGTGGGGGGGTGAAGAGGAAGGGACAGAGAAAGGTGCAGAGGAAGAGGGTGAGTAAAGGGTTGTCGGAAAGAAACGCTGGTGGACACTGATTAATGCCGCTGCAAGCTAGCAAGCACGCATGCACGCACGCACGCCACAGCAACACGCACCACACTTGTTGTCGAATCGAATAGTCGCCATGCCGCTAGTGGCCCCCTCGCAGCCCAAGCAGTGCTCGCTGCAGTAGTCCACGGCCAGAGGGCCCACCACGGGGCCCAGCGCTGCAGGCCATTTCACCACAGGCAGGGCAGTCGGCGGGGGAGGGGCGCCCAGCCTAGCCATGAGTGGTGTGATAGAGGCGATACCTGCACGGAGGGGAGGAGGGGAGGGGTTGGATGGGGTGGATGGTGGTGAATCTTGGAATTTTGCAGTAGTCTACAGCTAGAGTGCCCACCGTTGGGCCCAGAGCTGCAGGCCATTTCACGACAGGCAGGGGAGTTGGAGGGAGAGGGGCGCCTAGCCTAGCCATGAGGGGTGTGATAGAGGCGACACCTGCAAGGATCGGAGGAGCGGAGGGGTTGGAAGGGGTGGAGAGTGGGAGAGAGAGGCACGTCACGCACAAGCTAAAGCAATATCCTACCCCACACACACGCACGCACGCACGCACGCACGCACGCACGCACGCACGCACGCACGCACGCACGCACGCACGCACGCACGCATGCACGCACGCACGCATGCACGCACACACACACACACACAGCCACACCCACCCACCCACCCACCCACCCACCCACCCACACACCCGTCCACATGGCAGTCTTGGGCAGCGGGTCTCCGCTCATCTTGCCTGCCCAGCCCCCCAGGTTGGTGAGCGCAGCAGCCTTGATGGTGCCGAAGAGGATCAGGGGCACAGCGGGGAAGCGCAGAGGTGAGGAGGACCGAGGTAAGTAGCGCACCAACTGGCGGTTCACGTACCAGCTGATGGTTGGGTGGGAATGAGAGAGGGGGAGAGGGATGGGGAAAGGATGGGGGAAGGATGGGGGTTATGGGGGATGTCAATAGGCGATGCCAGTACGTAGCGCACCCAACTGGCGGTTCACGTACCAGAAGGTGGGAGATATGAGGGATGGAGGAGGGGGGTAAAGACGGGGGGTGGGGGGGGGATGGGCTTTGCAGGACGATGCGGAGAAGAGCAAAGGCGAGGCAGACTGTGGCTGGTAGGTAGCACACCAACTGGCAGTTCAGTTCATGTACCAGCTGGTGGGGAGGGTTGGAGGGGGGGTGGGGGAAGGATGGTGGGTATGGGGGTGTCGATGGTTGGTGATGTGAAACAGCAAGTAGCGCACCAATTGGCGGTTCACGTACCAGCTGGTGGGGAGGGTGAGGGGGAGGGGGGGTGAGGAGGGACGGAGGAGAGGTGGGGTGGGGATCCCGGCACACTCTCCAGCTGATGGTACTCGCTAGTGGAGAGTGTGTGATGGGAGTGGAGCACGGACGGGATGGATGAGGGTTGGGAAGAATGGGCCCAAGCCACCTCCAGTCAACCTGAGTCAAACCACTGCAACTCACGAGACATAGTGCGCGCCCCAGTAGAGGGAGAGGCGGGCAGGCACGGAGTCACAGGGCGAGGGGAGGTGGCTTGGACAAGGGGTCAGGCCTGTGTGTGTGTGTGTGTGTGTGTGTGTGTGTGTGTGTGTGTGTGTGTGTGTGTGTTCAAAAACACTGGTTTTAACCCTTGTTGCACTGCGGTCAGGCCAGCCAGTCAACTACGGTCAAACCAGGTCAATTCAATCCAACTCACGAGACATAGTGCGCGTCCCAGTAGAGGGAGAGGCGGGCAGGCACGGAGTCACAGGGCGAGGGGAGGGACACTTGGGTTGGAAAGGCCTTGCCGCTGCGGTGCAGAGTGGCGAGCAGCATTTGCTTGTTGCTGCCCACCATGTCAAACGTCACTCCTGCTGCTGGCCCCGTGCTGCCGGTATTGGATAGCTGAGGAGGGGAGAGGAGCAGGGAGAGGCAGGAAAAGGGAGGACAGGGGGGGAAGGAAGGTGTAATGGATAAGTCAGTCGGCCCTGGTTGGCAGGACTGTGCTTTTGGAGCGGGACAGCTGAGGGGGAAGGAGGGGGGGTTAGGAAGGGGCGTGGGTGGAACAGGGGCACGGAGGTGGGAAAGGCCTTGCCGCTGCGGTGCAGAGTGGCGAGCAGCATTTGCTTGTTGCTGCCCACCATGTCAAACGTCACTCCCGCTGCCTGCCCTGTGCTGCCGGTATTGGACAGCTGCGGGGGGGTGGGGGGGAGGGGAGGGGGATGAATAGGGGCGGGGGGGGAGGGAAGGTTTCGCATGGTGAGCGTTGCTCTCACCATGTCTTGAGACGTCTCAAAACTGGTTTCGCATGCTGAGCTGTGCTCTCACCATATCTTGAGACGTCTCAAAACTGGTTTCGCAAGCTGAGCTGTGCTCTCACCATGTCGCAGTGTCACTCCCACTGATGGGCCTGTGCTGCCTGTATTGGACAGCTGAAGGGGGAGGAGTGGGGTGAGGGGAAAACAAGATGGCTGAAGGTACCCTGTGCTGAAAGAAGAGGGGGGAGTATGGAGACCATCTGCACCGCACTTCACCACAACAAACCGCACTACCTGCCACCACACCACAGTACAGCAGACATACCCGGCAACCATACCTCACAGTGCCACACACCTGTCAGTCACAGCACTGCATCTGAATTTTGAGACGTCTCAGTCGTCTACCTGCCACCACACCACACCACAGCACAGCAGACATACCCGGCAACCATACCCCGCACACAAGTCGGTCACAGCACTGCATCTGTCATCCCTACCATAGCACAAGCACGGCCGGAGCATACCTCCATACCACCACACCATACCGCAGCATACCGCCTTGTACCGCCTAGGAGCCTGAGCAGCGGCGCTCACCCCAAAGGACACGAGCAGGCCAGAGGTGTTCCCTGAGGGGCAGGAGAGCGCGGTGTGGAAGACACCTGATGAGAAGGGCGCTGCTGACTGCCACAGGGAGCCTGAAGGGATGGAGGGGGAGGGAGAGGGGGATGGAGGGATGAGGGAAGAGGAAGGAAATGGGATTGCGGGGTAGGAAGGGCAGGGAGAGCGCGGTGTGGTGTGGAAGACACCCGATGAGAAGGGCGCTGCTGACTGCCATAGGGAGCCTGAAGGGATGGATGTGGTGGGCGGTGGGGGGAGAGGAAGAGGATGGGAACCGGACAGGACGGGCAGGAGAGAGCAAGAGAGGGCAGGAGGGGCAGGAGAGGGCAGGAGAGGGCAGGAGAGGGCAGGATAGGGCAGGAGAGGGCAGGAGAGGGCAGGAGAGGGCAGGAGAGGGCAGGAGAGGGCAGGAGAGGGCAGGAGAGGGCAGGAGAGGGCAGGAGAGGGCAGGAGAGGGCAGGAGAGGGCAGGAGAGGGCAGGAGAGGGCAGGAGAGGGCAGGAGAGGGCAGGAGAGGGCAGGAGAGGGCAGGAGAGGGCAGGAGAGGGCAGGAGAGGGCAGGAGAGGGCAGGAGAGGGCAGGAGAGGGCAGGAGAGGGCAGGAGAGGGCAGGAGAGGGCAGGAGAGGGCAGGAGAGGGCAGGAGAGGGCGGAGGGCAGAAGGGCAGGAGGAGAGGGCAGGAGAGGGCAGGAGAGGGCAGGAGAGGGCAGGAGAGGGCAGGAGAGGGCAGGAGGGCAGAGGGCAGGAGAGGGCAGGAGAGGGCAGGAGAGGGCGAGAGGGCAGGAGAGGGCAGGAGAGGGCAGGAGAGGGCAGGAGAGGGCAGGAGAGGGCAGGAGAGGGCAGGAGAGGGCAGGAGAGGGCAGGAGAGGGCAGGAGAGGGCAGGAGAGGGCAGGAGAGGGCAGGAGAGGGCAGGAGAGGGCAGGAGAGGGCAGGAGAGGGCAGGAGAGGGCAGGAGAGGGCAGGAGAGGGCAGGAGAGGGCAGGAGAGGGCAGGAGAGGGCAGGAGAGGGCAGGAGAGGGCAGGAGAGGGCAGGAGAGGGCAGGAGAGGGCAGGAGAGGGCAGGAGAGGGCAGGAGAGGGCAGGAGAGGGCAGGAGAGGGCACCGTTTCCTCCCACTATGGATAATTTAACTCCTCCATCTCATGCTTCATCTCATGCTTCATCTCATGCTTCATCTCATGCTTCATCTCATGCTTCATCTCATGCTTCATCTCATGCTTCATCTCATGCTTCATCTCATGCTTCATCTCATGCTTCATCTCATGCTTCATCTCATGCTTCATCTCATGCTTCATCTCATGCTTCATCTCATGCTTCATCTCATGCTTCATCTCATGCTATGCTTCATCTCATGCTATGCTTCATCTCATGCTTCATCTCATGCTTCATCTCATGCTTCATCTCATGCTTCATCTCATGCTTCATCTCATGCTTCATCTCATGCTTCATCTCATGCTTCATCTCATGCTTCATCTCATGCTTCATCTCATGCTTCATCTCATGCTTCATCTCATGCTTCATCTCATGCTTCATCTCATGCTTCATCTCATGCTTCATCTCATGCTTCATCTCATGCTTCATCTCATGCTTCATCTCATGCTTCATCTCATGCTTCATCTCATGCTTCATCTCATGCTTCATCTCATGCTTCATCTCATGCTTCATCTCATGCTTCATCTCATGCAAAGATACATCGATTGCTATGCATGCAACAACCCTCCCCGCTCCTGGCCTCACAGGCTCATTCACTCACCTCACCTCCAGTTCCCAGCTGAAACGCCAGCTTCACGTTATTGTACCTAGGCCATCCACATTTCATTCCTCCCATTTTACGCCACCCCAATTGAATCTACTAATAAAAAAAAAAGCATCCACTCCTTGCCCCGCCTTGCTTTTGTTTGTAACTCACCTCCATTCCCCAGCTGAAACGTCAGCTTCACGTTGTTCCCTTCCACCTTCGCGTTCCGCCCATTATACGCCACCACTATCCTCTTTACAGGCTTCCCCGCTTCAAACATGCGGTACCAGGCAGCAGGGGGAGGGGAGGGCGGAGGCGGGGGGCTGGGAGGGGGTGGTGGGGGGCGGGGCGGGGGGCGGGGGGGTTTTCGCCTGACAGGGGGGCGCTTTGGCAGGGGGGGTTTCACGATGGGAGGTTTGCGAAAGGGGGGCTTTTTGGTTGGTGGTTTGAGAAGAGAGGGGTCGTTTTGTACGGGAGGGGTGCGGAGGGGGAGGAGGGTGAAGGGAAGGAGGGAAAGAGGGAGGAGGGCCATGGGGTGGGAGGAAGACGAGTCATTTTGTGTCTGAGCCTGCGTCTGCGTCTGCATCTGAGCCTGCGTCTGCATCTGAGCCTGCGTCTGCATCTGAGCCTGCGTCTGCATCTGCATCTGAGCCTGCGTTTGAGATATGTGTGAGGTGAAAATGGTTTGTGGATGAGAGCTGGGAGTCGGGGGGATGTGGTTTGGTTTGGGTATGTGGGAAAAACGGCCAACGCTTGATGGAAAAAGGGAGTGGAGAGGAGTGGGGGTGGGTAGAGGAGGTGGAGGAGTAGGGAAAGGAGAGGGAGAACGAGGAGGAGGAGGAGGAGGAGGAGGAGGAGGAGGAGGAGGAGGAGGAGGAGGAGGAGGAGGAGGAGGAGGAGGAGGAGGAGGAGGAGAGGGAAAAGGGGGAGGAGCGGTGAGGAGGCGAAGAAGAGTGCGAGGATGGGGCGTGGGTAAGGCAAAGGAAGGTTGGATTAGAGCAGCAGATGATGCTACTCGGTCCCCTACGTCCCCACTCTCCTTTCCTTCCTCACTATCCTTTCCTTCCTCTGCTTCCTCCTCTCCCTTCCATCTTCCTTTCCCCTGCCCATTCCCTTTCCACCGCCCCTCGCCCTGCTCCTGCTCCTCCCACAGAGCATCTTCCACTTCTGCTTCTACTGCTGCCACTGCTGCCGCCATATGTGCTGCCACGTCAGCAGGTAAGTGGGAGCTGCCGCTATCTAATAGGATAGCGACACGTGGCAGGGACGCGGAGGGAGAATGTGTGAGCGAGTCTCGATCAACTCCCTGTGTTGATTCTGCTGCTGCACCCACAGCTTCGGTCTGGAGTCTACTTAAGGAGAACTCTTCTGAGGCTCCTACCTGTTGGTATGCATCTATTTCCTCGCCTTGCGTTCTGCTGCAGCATTCACTGCTGCTGCTGCTGCTGGTACTGCTGCTTCTGATGACGATGACAAAGCACACACAAAGAGAGGAAAGGGGAGAGGAAGATAGGAAAAGGGAGGGATGACAGAAGAATATAAGAATGGATACGGTAGGATGGCAGTACTGTTACTACTATGGAAGGAAGGTAGGCACCATACATGCATGCTTGCTTGAATGCACAAGTACAGAGAACAGCTGATATTGAGTGGACACGTGCAACTCAACGACACGTCACAGACATGCTTGCATGGGTGTGCATGCATGCTTGCATGGGTGTGCATGCATGCTTGTACGCGGGTGCATGCATACAGAGGGCAGTGTACGAGGCTGAGAGTAACGTTGGCAACTGCTGCTGCAGGTACTGCTGAGAGAAGCGACGAGCACTCATGCATGCTGCTGCTGCTGCTGCTGCTGCTGCTGGTGCTTCTGCTACTGCTGTTACTGCTGTCCGTACTAGTGATGCTGCTGCTGCTTTTCCCAGTGCAGCTGCAGCATGCATAAGCAGCGTCAGCAGCAGCAGCATCAGCAGAGTGGGGCGAGGAGGGCAGGGAGGAGAAGGTGAGGAGGGTGGAGGGGGTGGTGGCTGTGAAGGGCAACGACTTGTGGGTCCATTGGTGGGTCTGGAGGAAGGGAAGGTGGTAAGAGGCGAAGAGAGAGGGTGAGAGGAAGTGTGTTTGTAACAACAGAAAAAAGAAAGAACGAAAGAAAGAAATAATGAAACCATGCAACTTATGGGTGAGGAGGAGGGAGGAGGGAGAGGAGGGCATGAAGGCTGAAAGACAGCGAGTTGAGCATCCAATTGGGAAGGTTGGTGGTGAAAGGCTGTGAAGGCAACTAATGGTGGGGTTGGGGGAAAGGAAGACAGGCTGAGGAGGGGAAGAGATGAGGGAGAGAGAGGGTGAAAGGCTTTAAGGATGTGCAACTGGGAGAGGGGAGAGTGGAGAGAAGCAGGAGCAGGTGAGCTTGACACATGTCAGTCAGATGGGCGGCGCCAGTTTGTATGCGTCCTAAGACTGACACCGACTGTGACACTGACAATGACACCAAGACTGACACCGAAACAGGCCAAAACTGACACTGACACTGGAATGGTTGATCCTCCCTTCTTGCACGACGTCTGTCAAAAGGTGCTGCTCACTCTCCTCATACAGGCCCACAACCGTCACAACCACACTCTTTCTGGGGCACCTCGAAAGCTCACTTTTGCCGATACTCATAATGACACTGACACTGACAATTCTCCTCTCACCATCCTCTCGTGCACGACGTCTGTCAGCAGGTGTTGCTCACACTCCTCATATAGGCCCACAGCCGTCACAACCACACCCCCTGCTGCTCCTGCTTCTGCTGCTTCTTCTTTCTCTGACGTTGCTACTGCTGCTGCTGCTGCTGCTGCTGCTGCTGCTGCTGCTGCTGCTGCTGCTGCTGCTGCTGCTGCTGCTGCTGCTGCTGCTGCTGCTGCATATGCCTCTGCTTCTCCTTTCTGAAGCTTCTGCTGCTGCTGTTGTGTCTGCCGCCGCTGCTGCTCAAGGAGCTGCAGAGGGTGAGAGGAGAAGAGGAAGGAGAGCGAGTAGAGGCAGCCGGGGCGAGTGGGCACAAGGCGGGACACGGCCTGGGAGGGGACTGCGACAGGTGCGGTGCAGGACAGTTGGGAGGAAGGAAAGGAAAGGAGAAGTATGCATATGGGTTCTTCATCTCCTTGCGCTGCAACTGGTTGGTTTCTGAGGAATGGGTAAAAACTAACTGACTGCTGCAGCGGTGGGTTGAGGGACACACAAACTCACTGCATGGGATAATGGCGGCTGCCGTGTCCTTCCCAGCTGCTGCCATGTCTCCCACGCAGCACCCTTCCACATCCCACCCATCCATCCACCCTTGCTCCTTGTGCTGCTGCTCTTGCTGCTGCCGCTGCTGCTGGTACTGCAGCTGTCTCTTCCCCCCCAACGCCCCACTTGTTCCTCCTCCCCCTCCCCCTGTTGAAGCATGCAGGCAACGTGGGCCAAGAGAGCACACGGAAAGAGGGAGCACAGGGGGGAGCACAGGGGGGAGCACAGGGGGGAGCACAGGGGGGAGCACAGGGGGGAGCACAGGGGGGAGCACAGGGGGGAGCACAGGGGGGAGCACAGGGGGGAGCACAGGGGGGTCAAGGAGGAAAGTAAGTACTCAGAGTATGACCGTATGAGAGAGCACCAGAGGCAACGGCAAGGGGCGAGGGGTGGAGGAGGGGGGTTACATCGTGAACTAGATGCATCTAGTCACATGGCACAGGCACGATAGGATAGTTTGCAGTGAAGGTTTTTGACGCAAACTGGGCAGAACAGAAGAGGGGCATTGGAGGGCAAGGGGTGATGGGGCCTATAGGCACGGCAAGGGGTGATGGGGCCTATAGGCACGGCAAGGGGCACAGGTGACCGCTCCCCAGGCGGCGGACTGAGAGAACGTCCTTTGCTGCTGCTGACCTGATAGTCCTAGCTTAAACTAGCCCTTGGAATGAACAAATCTGCAGCGTTGGGAGAGATTATTCGCCGGCTGCGTTGTTGTTGAGTTTGAGATGTCGCGTGACGAGCTCCTTACTAGCTCAAGTTTGAGATACGCGACGCTATTCTGCGGAATGATGCTGCTCAAGTTCTGTCGATGCTGCTGTCCTTCCTCCTAGCGGAATGATCACTTGGTTGGATTCAACCGTGCACGCAACGACTGATCAAAGGATCTCACTCACGTGGTGGCTGTGGTGCTGTTGACACGTCAGCGGCAGCAGAAGCAGAAGCAGATGAGGCGGCTGCCGCTGCCACGTGGCGGCAGCAGCAGGTCCCACGGCCTAGGACCACGGCTGCAATGGCGATCGCCACGAGCCGCAACGCGAGCACACGGCGCCGCGAGGCATTGCGAGCCGCGCACCGAGCTGGGGGAGGTCCGCGCACAAGGCGACTGCTTTCGAGGCGCCTCAGGAACAGAGCCGCCGCGCACCCTTTTGGAGATCCGCGCACAGGGCGCGGCGCATTGCGAGGCGCGCCGCGACCTGGAGGAGATCCGCGCACACGGCAACGAGCGGCTACACTACGCATCGTGAGTGTCGCGAATGGGAGGTTTCCCGAAGGTGCGTGAAGGTTTGGAGGTTCAGCGGCGAATTGGAGACCGAAGAATCCGATTATTAGGGAGGTCCCATGTGTCTTTTCGTGGAGGCACGGCGTGTGCGCGCATGCAGCGAGAGGAGGCGCACGAATCCGGAGAGCGGAGGGGGACAGATGATTATGATTGCATGAGAGATGCACAACGCTGGTCGAGTGCTGGAGATGAGCAGAGTGCGTACGTGGCGTGTTTTGAGTCGAATCAAAACACACCGTGAGCAGTGCTGCTCTATCAATGATACATTCAATCCGTATGTGGCGTGCTTCGCGGGCGCGTATACAGAGATCGCTGAAGCTATAGTAATCGCTGCGGAACTAGTTGTTCGCAACTATATGGTGGTCAAGTCTCGGTCTCGAAGTTTCAATGTGTTGCCCAAGTCTAGAGGCGACGCGCTCCAATGAGACACGTCGCGGCGGTTCCCATTCTGGGAGTCAGCGCCGGCGATCGCGGCGGATGGCCCGATCGAGCATACTATGCTCCGCATTCGCCTAATATTGAAACACGACACAACTATTATCGCATTGAGACGTCGTAAAACACGGAGCGGCGCGTTTGGCGATTCTAGTCACGTGATGAGGAGCCGTGCGGCGGCTGCTGCTGCTGCTGCTGCTGCTGCAGCTGCTAGAAATGGACTGGAGAAATGCAGGCCGAGAGATATCGAGCCGGGGAAATGGTTGGGTGTTGGTGCGTGCGGTGCGGTGGTGCGAGCGGCGGCGGCGGTGGTTGAATGAATTTGCGCCTCTTGCTTGTTTGTTGAGTGGGTGGTTGTTGGATTTGGGCAGGGCAGGGAGTGAGAGGGAGACCAGGGGGGGAGGGGAACTGTTTGGTTGGGTTGGGGAGGGTGAGCGGGTCGGGCAGCAGGTGAATCTTGCGGATGGATGCAATGTTTCAGCACTTACTGTTCATGTGTGATTTCGTACTGGAAACGAGTTCGCTGGTGTGGGTGTGAGGCAGGGGAATGTGTGGTTGGGGTAGGGTGGGTGGGGTGCTTTGGTTGGAATGGAAAACAACGAAGGTCGAGTTCTGAGGGAGGCGGATCTGCGCGTGCCGAGCGGAGGGTTTCTTTCGAGGCGCCTGGTTCACTTCACTCTCTCACCCTGATTCCCGAACGCCAACGCTTGACCAGCCCGAGTCGGTGCGGCGAAATCGCTTGACGCGCTCCGGATGATGATCCGATAACGATTACAGAAAACTGTAAATGCATCCGGCCATCAAAAGCAAACAGCACGGAAAACAAACAATATGAAACATCAAATATAGAAGTGGTAATCATTATCATAAACACCCTCATATATCATTCCTATGCGCCAACATACACTGACCCTAAAGTTACTTTCTGTTCTCTAAATTAACATGCAGAGTTACAACGTGCAGGACACTCATTCTCGATCTTCTCCCACCTCATCCTCTCCATTCTCTCTCTGCCTGCTCTCCACGCTATACTCCGATTCTGGAAATGCATAACACAGGGCGATGGCAGCCGGGAGCATTTCACAACAAACCAGGAAGTGACCGACTGCCCGCTGCAAATTCTTCGGCGTATACGGTAGCTGGCTCGCCTGAATCCTCCCATACCCCACCAGAACATCCACCAACACGTTTTGCCAGTAGGGAAGGAAAACCAGAGGCACCAGGCATAGGAACTTGCTCAAGGCACTGAACGGCAAAAATGGGTGCTCAAAGGTATGGTAGAGGAGGAGGAGGGCGTAAGCAGCGAGATAGAGTGATCCATGGTGGGAGAGAGTGATGAGCCATGAGAGGGCTGAGGGGATTTGGGAGGGAAGTGGGAGGTATTCGTGGAAGAGGGAGGTTTGGAGGTGGAGGAGGAAGGAGAGGAGGGAGAGGGTGGGGAGGAGCAGTATGAACTGGCGGATCCATTTGACAAGGAGGTTGAGGGTTGCTCGATTTGCTCGCACCTCGGGCCGCTGCGTGAAACGGAAGAAGAGGAGGAGAAAGAAGATGATGAGGGAGAACAAGGATATGATGTGGGCAGCGGGAGGAGGAAGAATGCGATACGGGACACAATAGATGGATGAAGCAAGAGGGGGGAGATAATAAAGCAAAAGAAATAGGTGGTACATTATGGAAGGAGGCATGAGTAGGGTGTTGAAGCCAGAAAGTTAGGTGAAGGAGAGAAGTGCCATTCATGGGCATAACAGGTGATGGGGGGCAAGAAAATATATATGGGGTAGACATGCGAGGAAGAAAACCAGTCTGATTCCAGGTGGTGCCTCCAAAAAGCATGGCATGTGGGGATAGAGAAGACGAGACAAAGAGGCGAAAGCAGAACTTTAATGGAGCCAGTTCTGGAACGCACCAGAAAGAGAGTGCAGGTGGAGGCGTGCTTTGAGTCGAGTTTTGAATTGGCACCAGATTGGGAGCGTACCAGGAAAAGAGAGAAGGGGAAGGAGTGCTGCAGCATGCGGCGGTGAGAGGACGTGTGAGGGAGAGGGGCGGAGGGCCGGGGAGGCACTTTGAGCAAAGCTGAGAGCAGAGCAAGGAACTCCGACATGCCCTGCCGTCATTATTGTGTGGCGGGGGAGGCGAGGGGAGGAAGGGGAGGAGAGGGAGGGGAGGGAAGGGAGGGAGGAGAGGGAAGGGAGGGGAAGTAGGGGAGGGGAGGGTCAGAAGAGAAGGAGAGGGGACAGAGAGGAGAGGATGAGAGGGGATAGAGTGAGGCGAGCAACAGAAGGAAAAAAGGAGGCGACAGGGCAAGGATGTGAGGATGGATGGATGGATGGATGGATGGATGGATGGATGGATGGATGGATGGATGGATGGATGGATGGATGGATGGATGGATGGATGGATGGATGGATGGACGGACGGACGAACGGAGGTTGGAAGGGGCAGACAAAAAGCAAGGAAAGAAAGAGAGCGAGGAGAATATATTGGGTGGGGAAGGAAAGATGAAAGGCAGGAGGCAGGAGGGGGATGGGGTTGCGGGTGGGGGTGGGGGTGGGGATGGGGGGAACGCCAACAAACGATCACAGCAGGAACAACAAGGAAAGGAAGCTGAGGGAGGAGAGGGCGCAGGGGCGGCGAGGGAGAGCATACATATGCAACGTAGCAGTCCTTGAGGAGATGTAGCAGCGCCACCTGCCACTCATACCCTGGCATCTCCGCCAGTCCTGCACGCAGGCGGGTGTGCGAGGAGTGAGGGGGTGTAAGTGAAGGGGGAGGAAAGTGGGAGGGATTTGACACAATTCGAATCTCGGAATAGGTGTAGCAGCAGCGCCACCTGCCACTCATATTCCGGCATCTCCGCCAGCCCTGCACGCTGGGGGGTGTGCGAGGAGTGAGGGGGTATGAAGGGGGAGGAAGGTGGGAAGGGAGGAAGGTAGATGACATTGTAATTTGGTCCCCTTCCTCTCTTGCGCACAAGATTTGTCAAAGAACAGCAAATGCAGGCAAAATACATTAAAAACAGCGCAAACCCGGAAAACTGAAGTCGATTAGCAAAGAGCGCACCGAATCAAGCAACAACAGGCGCAAGGCAACTGTTGAGTCATCTGTTGAGCTGACTCATCAGTTAACTTGGCTGTTCGAGTCGACTCTATAAAGCACGCACGCACCAAAGTAGGAGTCGAGGGCAACGACAGGCGCCAGCCCAACAAGCATCATGATGGCCCGTTGCCCTCTTGGCTTGGTCCACTCGCGCGTGTGACGATTCAAAACAGCATCCTTTAGTTGACTCAGAAAGGCACGCACCAAAGTAGGAGTCGAGAGCAACAACAGGCGCCAGCCCAACAAGCACCATGACGGCGCGCTGCTCTCGCGGCTTGGTCCACTCGCGCGTGTGGCGCCCTATGAGGTTCACACACAGGTTGCTGGCCACCAGTGTCACCATGCCCGCTATCAGCAGCGTCAGCCGCCGCGGGTCTAGTAGACGAGCCACCTCCTCCGCTTGTATCTCCTCTGGCGTCTTCATTGCAGCTTCTCTCCTTGCTCCTTGCTACTTTCGGTCCTCCTCCTCCTCCTCCTCCTCCTCCTCCTCCTCCTCCTCCTCGCTGCTTCTCCTTGCTCCTTCCACCTCCTTCCTGTGCCTCCTCCTCGTTCCTCCTGCTCCTTCTTCCTACTCGTTCCTCCTCTTTCTTCCTTTCGTTCTTCTTCCTCCTCCTTACTCCTTCCTGCTTCCTTGGACCGTATGACTTGATATTCACCCTTGTGTTCGTTTTTTTTGCTCGTTCTACCTTCCTTTTTCTATCAAGAACAATTGGTGGGTCAAGCAACACCGCTGCTATTGCTGCCGCTGCCGTCGCTTCTCACTATTGCTTACACTACTGACGCTGCACTATGCGACGCAGGCTATCCGTTCTTGGAAAATATCCGCGTTAAGATCAGCTCACCCAACCACTCCAAAAGACCGCATCATTCTTGCACACGAGCAGCCATAAGCAGGGGACCGATTCGAATAGTAACCTCGGCAACAGCTCGAGAGGAGGAAGTCTGAATCTTGAATCGGCCTGATGATGGGTCCTGAAGCGAGGGAATGAAGGGGCGACAGCGGGAGACCAGGTGGAACGAAGTAAGTTGGGGATGGAGAAACGCGATGGGGGGAAGAAAGGGAAAGTAACGACCGATGGGGGAGTGTCTCAAGCAGGGGATGGGGCACGCGCGCTGTGGAATGGAGAGCGGGGAGTGCGATTACTCGTAGCACCAGCAGCACCTGGCAAAGCATAGCATGACGACGACACGGAGAGACGAACGGACCGTGGCGTCAAGCATGTGGAGAGGACAATGACGCATTCAGTCCTGAACGGAAATCAAGAGAGAATAGGCCGTGCCTGGACTGAATTCACATAACGGTTGCTTGACGAGAGTGAAAGAGAGAGTGGAGTAGGTAACGATGAGGGTGACGTGTGAAGGGGACGGTGGAGACGGTGTGTTGCTCTTGCTCGTGTGACACGACGGCGAGTCATGACGGCGTGTCATCGCTCGCGAAGCGGAGGACACGCGGGCTGATTTGAAGCAGATCGGAGTGGAACGAAACAGTCAGGACAGGTCTGATTGAGTCAGGTATAGATTTCCACTCCCGTTTGCTGTGCTCCCGTCGGGACTGACGCTGACCTTGAATGAGACGATTGATGTCGTAGCAGCAGGGGAGCAGAAACGCTCGAGTATTCCGCGTCAGATTTCGCGCTCCCGGTCCTGGAAAGCAGCGCGCTCACTAGGTCGATTTGGTCGTTCCTTCAGAATTGCGAGTGATGGACAAGACTAGTGGGACGCCCGCGGGATCTGGCTGGACGAGGAGGGGATGTGATTGCATCAATGATACTGGCTCGCAGTGAAACATAGAGCGATTTAGAAAGGTGCAGTGGGACTGGTGACTATAACCTCGGTTTTCACGGGGGTGTGTGATGAGATGTGACGTCCCTGGAACTGACTCGGTATACCGAGGTTGTGCAGGGTCTATTTCATTCATCTTCGTACTCGGTATTACGGATGCTGGACTGGGACCGAGGAGGACCAAATATCGTTAGCCACTGTCTTGTACCTTGTTCATTCTTTCTATTTAACAACCTACACAAAACAGCCCAAGGTCAATTGGGCCTGATATTCTTCTGCATGCATTTGAAACCCACGTAGAACATGGGACTGTAAAACTTCAAATAATGTACACGCCTGAAGGATTTTTTGTATCGCAGGCAGCGTAAAGGAAACAACCTAACCTAATTACACAAATGCAAAAATGCATAGCTTGCTTCTCATGCATACCGGAGCACCTGCCATGAAAGAGCACATCAACATACATTAGATACGGCAAGACTTTGACAGATACCACAATCTTGCTCGCGATATCCCAGAGCAAGACAGAAGTTCTAACTGCTCAACACACTTGCAACAAAACACTTACATGCTTGGAGCCCCGTGAGATGATGTACAGTGTGTGGTACACAATGCGGAACGCGAAGAATATCACCAAAAGCCACCAGAGGGACGTCAACGTGAGGCCAACGCGGAGTAAGACGAAAAAAGCGCCGGCAACCACAAGAAGATTTAGCAGTTGCATGGTTGGAAGATAACCAAAATCATCTGAAGGAGGAGAATTAGGGAAGAGGGGAGGCATACCGTAAAAGCAGGCGGTAGAAACAGGAGATCGACATGAAGGCAGGACAAGTTCAGTGATGGGTGTGGAAATGGAGGATGAGATCCCGAGCTGCAGATTCAGGTCAAGCTTGTAAATGTCTGGTCTGATGAACTACCCTCCCTTGTCACTCGGCTTGTAAATGTCTGGTCTGATGAACTACCCTCCCTTGTCACTCGGCTTGTAAATGTCTGGTCTGATGAACTACCCTCCCTTGTCACTTGGCTTGTAATTGTCTGGCCGGATAAACTACTCTCCCTTTTCACTCTACTACCCTTCCTGCCAACACAACTACCATCCCTTTGCACTCGACTCAACAACCCAGTCACCTGCCCCGATGGCAATCCCCTCCAGCGACATGGAGACAGCAGCAAGGCACTCGCACACATCGCTGTGCCACGCCACACTTCATTCTCCACTGAAGTGTGATGTGGTGCCAATGGCATCCCTTCCTGCTCTCGTGAGCGCATCTCACACGACCACATTCCATTCTCACCTCATGCCCTCTCTTTTGCTTGCACCCTCCTAACCCACATTGCTTGCCCCCTCCTAACCGCACCCTCCCTTCCCACTCGACCACCCTCGCCGCACCTGCCCCAATGGCAATCCCCTCCAGCGACAGGGACACAGCAGCAAGGGACTCGCACGCAGCGTTGTGCCACGCCAAACTCATCTCCCAATTGACCTCCATGCTCATGCTCATGCTCATGCTCTCATGACTGCACCTGACTTAACAGCCCTCGCTTCTCCCCTCTCCCCTCTTCCCTCTCCCCTCTTCCCTCTCCCCTCTAGCCTCGCGCCTCTCGTCTCACCTGCCCCAATCGCAATCCCTTCTAGAGACATAGAGACAGCACAAAGGCACTCGCATGCAGCACTGTGCCATGCCACGCTCCTGACAGCGCGGCGCACTCCCGGATCGGAGGAGAGCAGGTGTGAGGCGCAGAGGGAGAGAGTGAGCACCAGCAGTGCGAGCACGGCTCCTGTGACTGCTGCCATCAGCAGGAGCTGACGTGCCGTGCGCGATGCACGCTGAAAGGGGGGGAGGGGGCAAGGGAGGGAGGGACGGAGGGGAAAAAAGAGGAGGGGATTGGAAGAAGCGAGCACAACAAGCGCCAGCACCAGCAGCACCATCACCCCCCCTGTGACTGCTGCCATTAACAGAAGCTGGAGTGCCGTGCACGATGCACACTGGATTGGGAGGGGGAGGGAGGGAGGCTACGGAAGGAGAGAGGGAGGGAGTCGAAGGAGGGAAGGAGGGAGGATGGGGAAAGAGGGTGGGGGGGGCGAGGGACGGATGGAGCGAGAGAGAGCGAAATCTCAAAAGCATTTCCAAAGGCAGGGCTTCGCTTTTAAGAAACGGGCTGCAGTGACTGCATGTTGTCCCAGGCGCAAATGGCAAACCCTGGGACATCTCACGACCCTCCACCCCGGAGCATCTGAGGGAGTGATTGCGGCGATGCATGCCAGTAAGCAGGAGATGGGGAGGGTGGGAGAGGGGGAGCCGCGACAGGGGAGGTGGGGAGTAATGTGAGGAGCGAAAGGTCGATCAAGAGGAAGGGCTGCATTGCAGGAGGGAGCCGACGCGAACTGTGCCTCAACAGCCCTTCCTCTCAACAGCCAAATTCTTTTTCTCTCACCGGAGATCTACTCCCTCTGACCTAAGTTATGTCTCCTCTCACCTGTGGTCTGCTCTTGATGTCTCGGCCCACTAGGGACTGTGCTGCAAGGGAGAGCGGTTCTGCCAAGTAGCTGAGCGTCCAGAACACCTGCGGGGGTGGCAGCAAGTGAGAGCATGGACTAGCAGAGCGTGTGATGTGAAGCAGAGCGTGTGATGTGAAGCAGAGCGTGTGATGTGAAGCAGAAGCGTGCTGCCAGGGAGAACGGCTGTTTGAAGTAGCTGGGTGTGCAGAACACCTGTGGGGTTGGCAACTTGGCAGGCAGCAGGTGCAAGAGGGTGTGCGTGTGGTGTATTTTTGAGACGTCTCAAAAACAACCTCGCTACACGTGCATTGTATTTAAAAGTCAACGAGTGCGGAAGAGAGGAGCGTGCGGAGCAAAAGCCTGCTGCCAGGCCAGGGTGACGCAAATGTGCATAACTGCTGAAGCCGAAAGTCCGGAACACCCGCGAGCGAGCCGACCCCGCGGCAGCAGGTGCACGCGTGCTAGCATTGCATGGATAGAACGGCAATGCAGAGAACGTGCCTGCTGCCTGTCCACTTGAGGTGTCCCACATGGTCCTAAAGAGGGGATGGGATGGCCTCATGGCATAGCCATCTGGGAGAGTGGGCACCTGGTGCATATATTCAACCTTCCATAAACCACCCTCTACCTCAACCCTCCACCACCACCCACCACTGTCCTACACCCTCCACCCACCGCAACTGCATGGCGACCTGGTGAGCAGCCATGGCCACCACCCCCACCGTTGCTGCCACTCCACTCTCCACCCTCCACCCTCTTCCCTGTACCCTACACCCACCACCCCTCACCTTGCACCACCCACCACACCATGCAGCACCGCAACTGCATGGCGATCTGGTGGGCAGCCATGGCCACCACTCCCACCGTTGCTGCCCCTCCACTCTCCACCCTCCACTCTCCACCCTCCACTCTCCACCCTCCACTCTCCACCCTCCACCCTCTTCCCTGCACCCTACACCCACCACCACCCTCCTAGACCACCCATCACACCCAGCCGCACTGCACCTGCATGGCGACCTGGTGAGAAGCCATGGCCACCACTCCCACCGTTGCTGCCCCGCGTGCCAACAGCGTATACACCACCTGATGGTGGCAGGCGTGGAGAGAGAATTGGGAAGGGGGGCGGGGGGTGGTTGGGTTTCAGTCGACTCATATTCACCCAGCGTGCCAACAGCGTGTACACCACCTGATGGTGGCAGGTGTGGGGAGTAGGGGGATGGGAGAGATGACGTTTGAGTCGACTCCATAGCCAACTCCCTCCAACCGTTGCCGCCCAACGTACCAACAACGTGTACACCACCTGATGGTGGGAGACGTGAAGAGCTGGGGGCAGGGAGCGAGTGGGGGGAAAGGAAGGAAGGGACACGGATAAGCGGGGTTAGTGGTAAAGGGATAAAGCAGCAGACGCGCGTGGGTGTAGTGTAAGTAGAGCATAGCAGACTATGACTCGATAAGATTTTCAGTCGACTTCTAAGCCACCTGCAGAGGCAAGCAGGATACCACCAGTGAGGCCGCACGCCGGGCTGTTACAAACAGCCCACCTCGTAACAAGCGAGGTGGGGAGTCTTGAACGACTCCCACTGATACTGCGTTGAAATCACTTGAGAGAATTCTCAAAAGCGATTTTTTTAACGACTCCCACTGACACTGCTCGACCCCTCATGATCCCCACCCACACAGCTTTTGGGGTTGTCGGGAGGGACCTCAGTGCGTGACAGGCAAAATTGTTCGTAACAGGCTGTTACGAGCCCGGATTGTGGCCTGAGAGTGTGTGTACTGTACGGCACAGCAGCAGCAGCACAGGCTGTTGAGGCACCCTTCGCCTCAATTCCCCCTCTCACCTCTTGCCTCCCCTCTCTCGCCCCTCACGTCTCTCCTCTCGCCTCTCAACCCCCACACGTCACTCACCATTCCCAGCATGGATCGCGCGACAAGCGGCGCAGCCATGCTCGCAATCGCTGCACTCCCCTTCTCAGTTCCCCCTCTAGCATCAACCCCCTCGCCTCCCAACACTCACCCCTCCACCCTCTGCCTCTCGCCCCACTTGCCGCCACTCACCATGCCCAGCATGGACCTCGTGACAAGCGGCGCGGCGCAGCCATGCTTGCAATCGCTGCACCCTCCTGCTCGTTTCCCCTTCTCACCTCTCGGATCTTCCATCTCGCTTTCCCCCTCTCTCCCCCTCTGCCTCTCACCCCCCTGCCGTCACTCACCATGCCCAGCATGGATCGCGTGACGAGCAGCGCAGCCATCCTTGCTATCGCTGCACCCTCCTGCTTGTTTCCCCCTCTCGCCTTCTGCCACTTGCCTCTTGCTTCTTACCTCCCCCAGTGACCCAGTCATGCCTCCACATCCCGCCTCTCCCCCCACTGCCTCTCATCCCCCAGGTGCAACTCACCATGCCCAGCATGGATCGCGTGACAAGAGGCGCAGCTATCCTTGCAATCGCAGCCGCCTCCTCCTGAAGGCCCCACCCGAACCACCGCACTGCTATCTGCAGCTGACGCTTCGGCTGCTTCTGCTTCTGCTGCTGCTGCTGCTGCCAGTGGTGGATATGATGATGTTTTTGGTCTTGAACACGCTCCTTCTTCTGCTGCAAAGGCTGTTGCTGTGGCTCTTCTTGCTGGTGCAAGTGTGGCTGACTTTGTTGAAACGGCCTCTCCCCATGCTGCTCCACCGCCCAGTCCTCTCCCAACCGTGCGCGTTCCTCTATTCTACCTGCACTCAATGGTTCCCCCCCTTGTTCCCCGGTTTGATCCCACCCTTGTTCCCCCTCTTGTTCCCCCGCTTGATTCCCCCCTTGTTCCCTCCCTTGTTTCCTCTCAACCAATTCTTTGCAATCATATGGTGGAAGGTGTCAGCAGAGGGTATGAGAAAAGAGCAGCAGCAGAAGACGAAGAGGAAGAAGAAGAAGAAGAAGAAGAAAAGAGAAGAACAGGGAGGAAGACAAAAGAGAGGGAGGGGGAGAGAAATGAGACAAGGGAAGATGGGTTGGAGTAAAGGAGAAGCAGGGTGGTTATGCGACAAGTTGGTTATTTCAAGGTCTCAAAAACCAATATAGAATGAGACATGGGAAGACGAGTTGAAGAGAAATAGAAGCAAGGTGGTTGTTATTGTAGACGGAGTATGATGGTGGTGACGATGACTATAAAGCACTTGTTCTCACTCCCACTCCCACTCCCACTCCCACTCCCACTCCCACTCCCACTCCCGCTCCCACTCCCACTCCCACTCCCACTCCCTCTCCCTCTCCCACTCCATTTCCCACTCCCATTCCCACTCCCACTCCCACTTCCCCTCTCTCCCTCACCGAGTGGTCGCAGTCTCGCAGCAAAGATGAGTGCGGCCAGCACCTGACCCAGGAGTGTAGCCCACGCTGCTCCCCGCACACCCCTGCCGCCATGCACAGCAGCACATGTTCCGAGAAGACGCAGGTGGTTGGGGTTGGACCGTTGCAAAACAGGTGGGTGGGGTGGGGTGGGGTGGGGTGGGGTGGGGTGCGAAGACGATGGTTGGGGTGAGACAAGGTCGAGTGTGAGTGGGGGTGGGGGGTTCTGAGATGTCTCATCTCAACGCATGACACTTTTCTGGAGGCGCGACTTTTGAGAGGCGTGACTCAAAAGGACTTTTGAGGCGCGACTTCTGTTTCTCAGAAGTCCTTTTCTGGAGGCGTGGCAACAATAAATGTCTCAACACATGGTTGGGATGAAAACCGATGAGCAGGTGAGACGGGGGGGAAGGGGAGGGCGGTGATAGGGGGGGTGGTGGGCTGGGTGATGGCGACAAGGGTGAGTGCGCCAACGGTGGTGAGTTAAGCCAAGGTGCTCTGGTGCTCTGGTGCTCTGGTGCTCTGGTGCTCTGGTGCTCTGGTGCTCTGGTGCTCTGGTGCTCTGGTGCTCTGGTGCTCTGGTGCTCTGGTGCTCTGGTGCTCTGGTGCTCTGGTGCTCTGGTGCTCTGGTGCTCTGGTGCAAGTCGTGTCAAGATTTTCGCCTCAAAATGACTTCCCTTCTCATGCACACACCCCCACTCCCCTCCCCCGGTGACATTTGAGTGGGCTCAACAGGCAGGAAGGAATCACAGCAGCGTGCAGCACACATGTACTCACCAACCCATGTACAGCGCCAGCAGTGCATATCGTTGACCGCAGCCACGTTGACCGCAGCCACGTTGACCGCAGCAGCACCAGCGGCAGCAGATATCAGATCAGCAAGTACGAGCAGCACGCATGCGCGCACACGCACTCACCACCCCATGTACAGCGCGAGCAAAGCATCCCCCACCACGTTCACCGCAGCAGCAGCAGCAGAAATAACGGACCAACAGTATGTGCAGCCACCCAAGGAAGGAGTCACAGCAGCAGTGTGCATGCACTCACCAGCCCATGTACAGCACCAGCAGCGCATCCCCCGCTACATTGACCGCAGCGGCAGCAGCGAATATGAGCAGCGGAGTGACTGAGTCCTGCTGCCCCAGACACGCTCCCTGCGCCACCAGAATAGCCAGCACGAAGGGCGCTGGGGGAGGATGGGCGGGCGGGGTGGGGTGGGGAATGGGAAATCAGGAAGGGGAAGAAGATAGCTGGGATGATACTTTTCCAAGTCAGACAAACATCCAACATGGTCCCAGGCATTTCACTGCTGTTAGCAAGGGCCTGAATGCAAATGGCTTGCAAATGGCTTGCAAATGGCCTGTCTGTTACAAGGGGCAACTGTCATCACAAGGGCCTGCCGGCAAATGACAGGGTCCCTGTTTACCATCCACCCAACTGGAAGGCACAGGCCTCACCAGAGAGAGCGCGGATGCGGAGGTATTGCAGGGCGGGCAGCAGGAACGGCGGGCGGCATCCCATGGCTTGGAGGAGCGAGGGACCGGAGAGGAGCAGGGCGAGGGCTAGCAGTGACCCACCCACCACTGCCAGCCGCATTGCCGCTGTCACTGCCCTGCTCGCCTGGCCGGGGCGGTGAGGAAAAGAGGGGGGGAGGGGGGGGGTGGGGGAGGAGGAGGGGGGGGCTGTAAATTGAGCGCGCAAAAATAGATCCCACCACACCACCGTCACCAGCATCGCCGCTGTCACTGCCCTGCTCGCCTGGAAAGAAGAGGGGCGGGGAGGAGGGGGAGCGGGGGAGCGGGTGGGAAAGAGAGGGGGGGCGGGAGAAAAAGAGTCAAAGCACCAGTCAAGAGTGAATGGGAGTGGGGAGGGAGGGAATAGGATGGGGGAGAGAAGGGCGTGAGGGTGGAAGGGCAGAGGGCAGGCGGCAGCACATGGCTCAGAGCAGCGAGGGGCCGGAGAGGAGCAGGGCGAGGGTTAGCAGTGACCCGGGAAGAGGGTGGGAATGGGGGAAACGAGGGAAGGGAGGTGGCAGGCGAGGGAAAGGGGGAGGGAGATACGGGGGGGGGATGAGTGAGGGGAATACCAGTAGGTTCTGCTGTGACTGTGCAGCGGAGGTGGGCTGGGGCGTGGATTGGCGCGCCACCAGTGCACACGTTGCCGTGCCCAGAAAGGTGAAGGTCTGCTCGCGTGGGGTGTGGGGGAATTGGACGGAGTGTGGTGGGGGATGCATGCACGAGGAGTGGGGCATGCATGGGGTGTGGTGGGGCATGCATGGGGTGTGGTGGGGCATGCATGGGGTGTGGTGGGGCATGCATGGGGTGTGGTGGGGCATGCATGGGGTGTGGTGGGGCATGCATGGGGTGTGGTGGGGCATGCATGGGGTGTGGTGGGGCATGCATGGGGTGTGGTGGGGCATGCATGGGGTGTGGTGGGGCATGCATGAGGTGTGGTGGGGCATGCATGAGGTGTGGCATGGTTGGAGGTTAGGCAGCGTGTGTATGGGACAAAATCAGGGGTGGATGTGAGAGGGGGGAGGGGAGAAAGGGGAAACGGTGAAAACAAAAATATTGGAGTGCAGTGTCATAGCATGGCACAGCACAGTACACAGCACAGCACAGCACAGCACAGCACACACCGCACCGCACACAAGAGGGCAGGCGCACCTGGAAGATGAAGTTGAAGACAGAGACGTTGGGAGCGAGAGCAGCGAGGTGCAGCGACCCCAGCTGCCCCACACAAGCCGTGTCTATCAGCGTCATGAGTGGATCCGATAGCCTGTCCAGACCCAAGGGATGGGGGGTGTGTGTGAGGGTGGGGGCGGGGGGGGAGGGCAGTGGCGTGTGATATGGATTTACCTTAGGATTCTATCAGCGTGAAAAGCAGTCATGAGAGCGGGTTCGAGAGACTGTTGTTAGGAGTGGGGGGCCAGGAAGGACGGTACTTCCTCCACATGAACAAGATACGAACCATCACTGGAATCATTTCTTTGCCTAACACATCTCCTCATGACATCCCATAACCAAAATCCCATCCCACCATCCCATCCCCATCCTCCCATTCCCACCTCCCATCCCCTCATCTCGCCCCATCATCTCGCCCCATCATCTCGCCCCGTCTTCTCGCCCCATCATCTCAACCCATCTTCTCGCCCCGTCTTCTCGCCCCATCATCTCAACCCATCTTCTCGCCCCGTCTTCTCGCCCCATCATCTCAACCCATCTTCTCGCCCCGTCTTCTCGCCCCATCATCTCATCCCATCTTCTCGCCCCATCTTCTCGCCCCATCTTCTCGCCCCATCTTCTCGCCCCATCTTCTCGCCCCATCATCTCACCCCATCTTCTCACCCCATCTTCTCACCCCATCTTCTCGCCCCATCATCTCGCCCCATCATCTCGCCCCATCATCTCGCCCCATCATCTCGCCCCATCATCTCGCCCCATCATCTCGCCCCATCATCTCGCCCCATCATCTCGCCCCATCATCTCGCCCCATCATCTCGCCCCATCATCTCGCCCCATCATCTCGCCCCATCATCTCGCCCCATCATCTCGCCCCATCATCTCGCCCCATCATCTCGCCCCATCATCTCGCCCCATCATCTCGCCCCATCATCTCGCCCCATCATCTCGCCCCATCATCTCGCCCCATCATCTCGCCCCATCATCTCGCCCCATCATCTCGCCCCATCATCTCGCCCCATCATCTCGCCCCATCATCTCGCCCCATCATCTCGCCCCATCATCTCGCCCCATCATCTCGCCCCATCATCTCGCCCCATCATCTCGCCCCATCATCTCGCCCCATCATCTCGCCCCATCATCTCGCCCCATCATCTCGCCCCATCATCTCGCCCCATCATCTCGCCCCATCATCTCGCCCCATCATCTCGCCCCATCATCTCGCCCCATCATCTCGCCCCATCATCTCGCCCCATCATCTCGCCCCATCATCTCGCCCCATCATCTCGCCCCATCATCTCGCCCCATCATCTCGCCCCATCATCTCGCCCCATCATCTCGCCCCATCATCTCGCCCCATCATCTCGCCCCATCATCTCGCCCCATCATCTCGCCCCCATCATCTCGCCCCATCATCTCGCCCCATCATCTCGCCCCATCATCTCGCCCCATCATCTCGCCCCATCATCTCGCCCCATCATCTCGCCCCATCATCTCGCCCCATCATCTCGCCCCATCATCTCGCCCCATCATCTCGCCCCATCATCTCGCCCCATCATCTCGCCCCATCATCTCGCCCCATCATCTCGCCCCATCATCTCGCCCCATCATCTCGCCCCATCATCTCGCCCCATCATCTCACCCCATCATCTCGCCCCATCATCTCGCCCCATCATCTCGCCCCATCATCTCGCCCCATCATCTCGCCCCATCATCTCGCCCCATCATCTCGCCCCATCATCTCGCCCCATCATCTCGCCCCATCATCTCGCCCCATCATCTCGCCCCATCATCTCGCCCCATCATCTCATCCCCTCACCCCACATAATCCCCACTCACACGGCGCCCAGGGCGGGGAGGGCAAGGCCCCATATATCCCTCACCACCGCCACCTGCTCCCCTTCGCCCTCACCCCCACTCGCACTGCTCCTCTCCTCTTCCTCTCCTTCCTTCCAGCCACCACCACCATCAGCAGCAGCATCAGCAGCAAATGACATGGTCTTTACCGCCCTCCTCACCCTTCTCCTTCTCATCCCCTCAACACCCCCCATCCCCCCCACCGCCCGCTTTCCCCCCACCGTCCACACCGCCCCGCTCTGCCATGCCCCACCCCGCCCGCACGCCACACCGAAATCCAAGCGCGGGTGAAGGTCGTGTGTGTTCCTTGAGTTTCTGACACGTGAAATCGAGGTCGGTACTAGTCGGGAATCGGAGGGCACTATAACGAGTCCATCGCGGTCTCCCTCCCCGAGGCTGCTATCGAGATGGCTCTGACTCTCACTTTGGCGTTGACGGAGACGTTGACGCGGACTTGAACTCTGACTGTACCTGCCGCTCACACCACCGAGTATAGTACGTCGTGCCGTCAGATCGTGAGGGCGCTGAAATACCGACGGTGGCTCTACATGACTCGAACGCACGGGATTGTGTTGTCTTAATGGCTGTCGAGTTGACTCTAACCCCAACTGTACCCCTACAAGCGTTGGTCTGCGTCCCCTCGTTTTTGAATTCCTCGCGACTAGTTGCCTAGTAGTCATTAATTGCGTTGTTCTAAAAACCTCCGCTCTTAATGGCCTACAGACGACCGTTTGTGAGGACTTTATTACTGAGATCAGCGACCGGGAGAGGACAGACGACGGCGGCGCTCCCGCCGGGACTACTAGTAACGAGGACGCTCTTAGCGGAGCGCATTGCGGGACCGGAACCACTGCAGCGCGGTGGAGTGGAGGCGGAAGCATGGGCGTGAGCTCTCGAGACGACGGCGTGTCACAACAGCAGCGAGTGGAGGAAGCGCGGGGGAGAAGAGGGAAAGGATCGTTGTGAAACGGAGTGGGGGACGACAGGCCCCCAGGGGGCCAGGCGGTAATAACGAGCTCCCTCTCTCTCTTTCTCTCTCAGAAGCGGTAACAGGCTAACTGGAAACTGCTAGATGGATGTTGCTCTCGGCTGATCGACGAATAGTGGCGCCGGTCTTGAACAGCGTCGCGAGACTACTACGCGCGCTGGGGCCTGTCTGTACTTCCCCCGTTGACTGGGTGAATACCGCGAGTTCAGGTTCGCCCTTCTCAGCCTGTAGTACGAAGCAGCATTTAAACCCAGAGAATGGGAGGAACGAAAGAGATGCGTGTGATACCACTGGAAACAGAAGGCGAGAAACGGATTTGAAGAGAACCGCAGCAGAGCGAAATCTGGTGGAGTAAGATGAAATCCATTTCCCAACTCATTCCCGCGTGTCGGCAGAACCATTTCTTCACGCCTGCAGCGGAATCCGCAATAATGCAATGGGGATACAGCACCGTTGGGAGACAATACTATTACTTTCTTTCATAGAGCTTCATAGAATAGTGAAATATAGATCACTCCAACGATCCCTAATTACCGCTGAAACAAACAGTGGTTTTGATTAATACAATAAAAAATAGCATATTCATAATAATGGGACTGAAATTTTGATTTATTAATGCGGAATAATCACACCAATAAATTAGAATTATGATGGTTTTCATTCACGGTTAACCCCCCAGGCGAACGCGCCTGTAACCCCCCTAGGATCAATCGGGCATCCACTGTGCAGATCTACTGACATAGACCACTTTCCGGAGCGGCCCAAATTCCAAAATGGTACAAAGCTCCACTCCCGAATCCATTCAGCCAAGAAAGGCTTGAGTATCAAGCTTTTCTAGCAATCATTTTCCTCCTTCCTCCTGCGACCAGCAACGATGGGGCGTTCAAAGCTCTCTCATCCTGCTCGCGCTCTCCCTGGTTTTATACCTCTCGCTCGCACCACTGTGCCGCGCGAACAAGCTCGGCGCGGAATGTCAAAATGTTATAATGCTTATATTGTATAGGCTGTAGTGGGGTAGCCCGTAAGGGGTAGAACCCAATTAGGGTTAGTGTCAGAATGTTATGTTTGTCTAGCCTGCAGTGGGGTACTCAATAGTGAGTACAGCCCAATTTAGGGTTTGCTATATGTACTCAACTGCTTGCTAGTGCAATCACTCTTCTCTCATTCCTGTTTCTTTCTTCACATGGTATAGAGCTAGACCGATCCTTCCTCGGGCCCACCACTTCGCTAAAATTATTTTTTCTGCCCTGCTGCCCGAAGCGCCTTTAGCGGCCCCGTCGCGGCCCCTTAACGGCCCCTTCGTGGCCCCTTCGTGGCCCCTTCGTGGCCCCTTCGCGACCCCGTCGCGGCCCTTCGTGGCCCCTTCGCGACCCTGTCGCGGCCCTTCATGGCCCCTTCCTGGCCCCTTCGTGGCCCCTTCGCGACCCCGTCCCGGCCCTGTCGCGGCCCCGTCACGGCCTCGCCCCGGCCCTGCCCCGTCGCCCTGTCGCGGCTCCCCCCCCGTCGCGGCCCCCCGTCGCGGCCCCCCGTCGCGGCCCTTCTGTCGCGGCCCCCCGTCGCGACCCACCGTCGCGGCCCCCCGTCGCGGCCCTGTCGCGGCCCCCTGTCGCGGCCCCCCGTCGCGGCCCCCCGTCGCGGCCCTCCGTCGCGGCCCCCCGTCGCGGCCCCCCGTCGCGGCCCTGCCCCGTCGCCCGCTGCGGCCCTGTCGCGGCCCTGCCACTGCCCTGTCGCGGCCCTGTCGCGGCCTCACCCCGGCCATGTCCCGCCGCCTGTCGCGGCGCACCGGGGGCCCTCGCACCGCCCCCCCCCCCTCTTTTCCCGTCGCCCGTCGCGGCGCCCTGGGGGGCCGCGCGCGGCCCCCTCAGGTCGCCCCGCCTGGCGACGGGAGGGGCGGCCTGGGGGGGGGGCCGCACGTCGCCCCATCTGCCGCCTGCTTTGGCGCCCTGGGAGGCCACGCGTCGCCCCCCCCCCCCCCCCCCCGTAACCTCCCTACCCGCCATCCCGCCCTGCCCTGTGTTAGGGTTTGGGGGTGGCGAGTAGGGGGTGGCGGGCGTGTGTTCACCCCTACTCCTCCTCCTCCTCTGTCTCCCACTGCTGCAGCTGCCGCTGAGGGGGGTGGGTGTGTGGGAGACGACGGAGTGGTGCTAGGGGGTGGGGTGTGAGTGAACCTAGGGGTGCAGCAGGGGGTGTGTGAAATGGGGGTGGGATAGTTTGGGGAGGTTGAAGGGGGGTGGCCGCCGTGAAGCCCGCAGCTCCAGTCGCCCGTGAGACCGTTGCGCCAGTCGCCCGTGAGCCCGTTGCGCCAGTCGCCCGTGAGCCCGTTGCTCCAGTCGCCCGTGAGTCCGTTGCTCCTGCCGCTCAGAGTTAGCCGCGGAGCCAGTTACTCCAGTAGCCCGTGTGCCAGTTGCTCCAGTTGCCAGTGTGCCAGTTGCTCCAGTTGCCCGTGTGCCAGTTGCTCCAGTTGCGCCGTGTGCCAGCAGCTTCAGCTGCCGCCCACTACCTCCTCTCCTCTCATAGTCCCTCCTCCTCCACACTTGCCCTCTGCGATAGCCTCTAGCTTTGCTTACATTTGTGAATTTTAAACTCTTGCTTCTTGTACTTGTGCTAAGAATGTGTGGTGACATTGTGATCCACCCTGAGCTTGTTTTGCTTTGCCTCTTGTGCTGATTACACCCCACTTTGGCTATGGGGGTGTGTCAGAATGTTATGTTTGTCTAGCCTGCAGTGGGGTACTCAATAGTGAGTACAGCCCAATTTAGGGTTTGCTATATGTACTCAACTGCTTGCTAGTGCAATCACTCTTCTCTCATTCCTGTTTCTTTCTTCACAGTTAGTACTGTTGGAAACAATTGATTTAAGCGCCTCTGTCGTGTCGAAACACCAAGTCAGAAGCGAAGCAGAACATATCGAAGCATCAGCGAGTCAACCCTCAAAGGTTAAACAACTGCTGGAGGTTACGCGAAAGTCAAAGGTCAGCGACCTTTGACCTGACAAGTACAGCGCGACAGCAAGGACAAACAACTGACTCGCTATTGAGCAGTTGCCCGAGTCGTCACTGTATCGAACTACAACAGCAATGGTAAAACGGTTATTAGTTATAACCCTTCATATTCCCCTGTATTCTCATAAAAGCTTGTATCTCTTTGCTATTAATCAATCTACTATGCCCTCACATACTAGCGCAAGGTGGTTCACAAGTCTTTTACTTAACGCTTCCGCTATTACATCATCCTACCCTGAATTTAGTCCTGCAAAGATCCTAAGGGCTTTTTCTCAGCCCAACATGGTATGAGAGCTATCAGGACACCCACAACATCACAAGGCATGGCAACGCAGAAGGAGAGAAGCTCCTCTAACGGCTCTCCCGGTACTACTCCTACTCCACCTCCTGTCTCTGGCCTACAGACAGAGGAGGGTACAGCAACAAGACCAAGGGCAACGTCTTCAGAAACTCCCGCAAATCAAGCTGCGGCCTTCGACCCAGACATGATGGAGAAATTCTTCTCCTTCATGTCCTTCTACGAACAACACCAGCAAGGGGCACCTGCACAGTCAAACAACAGCAACAACAACAACGCAACAAAGATGAGCCTTGACGGCTCATCCTACGCACGAGGAAATCAGCAACAACCTATCTTCGCCCCGTACGAACCTCAGCGCGGCTCCGTCAGCTTCATGCCGCGCCAGCAGCCTTCACCTGAGCAAGAGAAGACGCTAGATGCACTTCAAGTTCAGTCGCAGTTTGCGCACGTTTTAAAACTACAGACGTCAAGACCATTCGACGGAAAGGACTTCTTTACCTGGTCATTCGAATTTGAACTGATGATGGAAGGCGCGCAGATTCTTGGCTTCTTCGATGGGTCCCTGCCATACCCAACAAACGGCACGCAATACGACAAACAGCAGTATACGTATCAATCTATGATGGCGTATACAATCCTACTGCGCAACGTCACACCGAACCAGCAGCAGAAAATTCGGTCTTACCGAGGATACGGAAACTCCGCCGAGCTCGCGTACAACCACCTGAAGAACCTGTATCAGGCAACAGACTGCGTCAATCAGAGTCGGTTAATGGCACAACTGACAACAGTGGAAATGAAACCAGGCGAAAAAGGGATGGCGTATATCAGCCGCTGTTGCGAATTGCGCGACAAACTCCTTCGATGCGGAGGGTCGATATCAGAAGACGCCTTCGTCACAGTCGTCATTGGCGGTCTTGGTCCTCATTGGCGCTCCACTCGCGCCATACTCCGAGCTCATGGGAAGATCTTCGAAGCAGCATTGTGCGCTGAAATTCATGCCGAACAGCAAGACATGGACCTACAAGAAGAAAAACACAAGAGGAAGACGTCAGTGTCCGAGTTCGCTTTCCACACTCAACGACGCTACAACAACAACAACCATCGGCATCACAAGTACCAAATTCAACAACCCGTACCTCCGTTTTGTCATCTCTGCAAGACGTCAGGACATCCTCGCACACACAGCCCTAACCGACAACTGTCAGCACCAACGCAGCGGCAGCTTCGACCTTCAAGCAGTCAAGTCGCCTCAATGCAAGCAAATCTTACTACTCAAGTTCAAACGTCAACAAAGTCGACGGGACAACCTGCACAAATAACAAGGGATATCGTCAGCTGCATGGCAAAATTGACCGACTCCTGCATCACTGAATTGCCGCCGCACTACTCACCAGAAGAACAACTCGACGAAAGGACTCCACGTCGAGAATCTCTGCAACCGAACCCAACGTACGCAGCCATCGCCCAAAGCGAACCGTCTGGGAAGGATACCTGGTTCTTGGACAGTTGCTGCGGACAACACATGTGCTCTTCAGGACGCTTTGTTCAACGCGAACACAAACTTGAACGCGAGGTCGTCATCACCGTCGCCAACAATCAGAACCTGCGCACATGACGACAAGGCGTAGTGCAACTTCAGTCACGAGAGACAAACATCATACTGCAGATGTCAA